GATGGTACTTTTCTAATTTCCTAAATTTTTCCAAGATAAAAATCTTTGGAAAATTATTATACTGAGATGTCCAGTACTATATTTAGGTCAGCTGCCTCCTGGGATGGATCCTTCCCTTGGAGACCCAGTATCCATGGGAAATGCTCAGAACAGGAAACCATGGGGCCTGGGTTCAGAAAATGATAGGGAGGATGAAGTGGGTTTTCATCAAAGAATTTTTGTCCAAGTGAAATATTTAATTCCAGTACTGGCTGGGCACACATCTCCCTACATAAATATTGAATGCATGCTCAGCCACTCTAAAGTAATTAATCATATCAGTTTCACCTTCAGACTCAGCCTAAACAAAAAGTGGAAATATGTTCACATCTCAAAGCTGAGCTTAGGTATTTTTGTTATTACTGTGCAGCCAGAGCTGAGTGCAGACTCCCTGACACAGAGAATGGCTAAAAACCACTATGGCTGTAGTTCTCCTTTCAAGCTGATAAAGTAACATCTTCTTCTCACTTTATTTATTTATTTGTACTTTTAGCTCTTCATTTCCAAAGAGTTCATACTCATTGCTTTAGGACAAAAAGAACTGTAATGATAAATGTGGTTGTTATGTTTCATCTTAGTCCCAAGGGTGTGTTCTTCTTCCAGTGATGAGCATCTGCTCCCAGTCATGTAGAAATCTGACTAACAAAGCATGATCTTTGATTAGCATATTTCAGAAATTGTTTCTTATTACAAGCTCTCCTTAGGGCTTGTGTTGCTTAGCAGTAGAACAACCTTCCAAATGTATTTAACATGTTGAAGAACTTTGCAGACATATAAATCCCTACTTTGTGGTCTTATGTTCATATGGATCATGCATTCTGCATAAGTGGGAAAAAAATCTCCAGAAATAAAAATCCACATCATGGGGTTTTTGCTGTCTTCTGACAAAGTTCAGTTTGGCTTGTATTTAATAAACTGCTGTTTTGAACAGCATGTAAGGACTGTTCATAATGAATAATAAATGATGCTTCTATTATGTGTCACATTTAAGGGTTTTCATGAGGTGTTCCACCACTGGCCCTTTATATTAGGGAGGTTTTTGATGACAGGGGTGTTGAAACTAATGATGAAGCTGAATGCTTATGGGTAAGAATTAAGGGGAAAGCCAACAAGACTGACATCCTGCTGGCAGTTTGTTTGTTTGCAGGAAGAAGATGTGGACAACTTATTCTATAAGCAGCTGGGGAATGTTTCAGGATCACCAGACCTTGTTCTTGTAGGTGACTTTAACCTCCCAGATATCTGCTGGGAACTTAATACAGCAGAAAAGAGGCAGTCCAGGAACCTCTTAGAGTGTATGGAAGACAACTTTTTGTCACAGCTGGTGGGTGAGCCCAGCAGGGGAGGGACTATGTTTGACCTGTTGTTTGCAAACAGAGATCTGCTGGTGGGAGATGTGGTGGTTGGAGGCTGCTTGGGGAATAGTGATCATGAAATTATAGAGTTCTCAATATTTGGTGAAATCAGGAGGAGCATCAATAGGACTTTTACATTGGACTTCCAGAGGCCAGACTTTGTCCTATTTAGGAGACTTATTCAGTGAGTTCCTTGGGAAGCAGCCCTTAAAAAGAAAGGAGTTCAGAAAAGGTGGGTGTGCTTCAAAACACAGATCTTGAGGGCACAGGAACAGACTGTCCCTGTGTGCAGAAAGACGAGTCGACGAGGCAGAGGTCCAGCCTGGATGGGCAATGAGGCTTCGAAGGAATTTAGTAATAAAAAAAGGATGTATCATCTTTGGAAGGAGGAAGTATTTAAGGGGGTTGATAGGGCATGTAGGAAAAGAATTAAGGAGGCCAAAGCTCAGTTTGAACTTAATTTGGCAACTTTTGTGAAGGATTGTAAAAAATGTTTTTACAAATATATTAATAGTAATAAGGAAGGGTAAGACCAGCCATTGTTCCTTATTGGATGAGAGAGAACCTCAGTAACTGCAGATGAGGAGAAGGTGGAAGTGCCTCATGTCTTCTTTGCCTCAGTCTTTAGTGGGAAGATGGCTTGTCCTGAGGACAGGTGTCCTCCTGGGTTGGTAGATGGTGTCAAGGAGCAGAATGGTCCCCCTGCTATCCAGGACCATTCTGCTCCTTGACAGGCATTCCTTGGAGGCAGCCAGAGAACTGCTGAGCCACTTGGATGTTCATAAATCTATGGGCCCAGATGGGATCCATCCCAGGGTGATGAGGGAGCTGGCAGATGAGCTTGCAAAGCTGCTCTCCATCATTTACCAGCAGTCCTGGCTCACTGGTGAGGTTCCAGATGACAGGAAGCTGGACAAAGTGACACCCATTCACAAAAAGGGTGGGAAGGAGGATCCTGGTGATTATAGGCCAGTCAGCCTGACCTCAGTACCTGGTGAGGTAATGGAACTGTTTATGCTGAGTGTCATCATGCAGCATGTGCAGGATGGCCAGGGGATCTGACCCAGCCAGCGTGGGTTTAGGAGAGGTAGGTCATGTTTGACCAACCTGGTTTCCTTTTATGACCAGGTGACCCACCTGGTGGGTGCAGAAAAGGCTGTGGATGTTGTCTATTTGGATTTCAGCAAGGCCTTTGACACTGTATCCCAGAGTAATTTACCCAATACATCAGTTGCTTTATTTATTTTTGTCAACATTATTATTGTTCTCAGATTTTAGAAACAAGTCGAGGCATAGAAAGTTGAGGCCTGATTTGTAAGGAAATGGTGGCTAGGATTTCCAACCACATCTTTTCCCATTGTTTTCCTTCCTGATGATTATTCAACAGTGTTTTTTCTTTCTGGATAAAAAATTTTTAAGCTGCAAAATATTTGAAAGTCATCTTATTTTTACCAGAAATGTGTAGTGTGATGCTATTTCAGAGCTGCATATATTTTTATTGCCTTGGAAGACCTAAATAGTTCCTGGAATGGATTCACCAATTAAGAGTAAATTTTACTGTGAAAAAATGCTAAGTATTGTAGCTGTTCATGATTTCACATAGACCATGTGGGCTTAAATTTTGCTCCTTCTTCATGCCAAAGTAGTATTGACTTTCCAGGCTAAACCAACATCCCCACTCCTCAGGTTTTGGCTGATAGAACACTGAGCACAAGGCCAGGCTGTACTCACCAGCAGCCCAGTGCTCCTGGCAGCTCTGAGCCCTGGGCTGCCAGCCAGTTTGCACAGGGATTTTTGTTGATGCAGCATTTTGCATCAAGGATGTGTCACCAGCAAAAGAAAACAATGTGCATGGGCTCCAGCAACAGAGCAAGGCCAGCTGCAAGTGAGCAAAAGTTCTGGTCATTAAATTTGTGTGTGGGTGTGACCTTTGAATTACCTCAGCCTCTGAAACGATGATGTGGTGACCCTGCACACTCCAAGTGGTGCTCAGTCATTAAAGGCTTTGCAGAAGGAGGGTGTTTCACTGGTTTGCAGTTTAAGAATATCCAGGTAGACAGCCAGCTCAGGAAACTGTGGCTTGCCATTTAAATCCCTGTCAAAGATCTGCCTCAGTCCTTAACTCAGTCTCCAGTGAGAGTGAAGTAAAAGGATTAAGAAGGTGTCTCTCACTGTTTGTGTTCTGGGAATGTAAAGGGCAGGGAATCAGATACTTCTCATCTGTCTGGCTTAAAAAAGACACCAAAAGGCAACAGCAAAACATCCCTGAAGAGCTTTGACAGCCTTTGGTCTTTCCAATGGGACAGACCCTGGCCCCTCAAACACTGCCTGTGTATTTTCCTAATGGCAACACATGAATGTTGCTGCCTTATTGTTTATTGCATAGGAAACAGATGGTCCTTTCTCCTTCCTTGTTCACTTCACCTCTTCTATCAGTTTTAATGGTTTAAAAGAAAAAGCTTTTAACACTTTTGCTTTGTTTTTATGATTTCCCCGTCTTGCACCAAAGGCATTGCAGTAAATACATATGCACTAGTGAAGCTTAATTGCCCATCACAAATGTGTAATGGGTGTTAATGTGGCAGGAGCTTGTAGCTGTGGCTGTTTAACCTAGCACAGAACAGCTGCAGCTCTTCAGACCCGAAGGAAAACAGACGAATCCTCTGCTTGTTGGAAATATATTTGCTCTCAGAAAAATCTGGTACAGAGCAAACTGAAACTTCTTCCACTTCAAATGTTCTCCTTTGAAAGTTTCTCTGATTATTCAGTAGAAATGGGAAGTGGTTATCATAAAGTAAGAGCTTTATACCATCCCCAAAAGTAAATCAAGAGTTGCCCATTTCCAAGAATGGACCAAGACGTGAGGAGGGATGAGAGAGTAAAAATGGGATTTAAAGACACTGAAGAGGAACAGGAAGTCAAATCCATGGCAACAGAACATCCAAAAAGAGCTTCTGTAAAAATCACTTCTCAAACAAAGTGAAATTTCTCTGTGTAACTGGTATGGCAGAGACTTCCCTACTGATGTGTTCACATAACTATATTTTGAATTCTTGTAATTCGTCTTGGCAGAAAATGTTTTATTGCTGCTTTTTAGAAACCTTCTTTTGTAGAAGAATGAATTTAGGCAGGTACCTTTCAAATGGGACAAGAGCCTGGACATATTTGCTCTGAGATGGCAATTCATCGTGCTGTCTAATCCCAGCTCTGACAACAGTGCTGGTGGTGCAGGTTGTTGAATAAAAGCCAGGATTATTTTGTTGTTATTACTGCTTTTCTAGTCAAGCATTTTAAATACAGGGGATGCATAGCTGTAAAAATTAAAAATAATCTCTAAAATGCCTGTTTTACAGCATCTATGAAGTTAAATTTATTAGCATTCTGCATTATATCAGTTAATAGTTAACTTCTAAAATACTGGTCATTTTGTTATTGAGTACATTTTATCCAAACATAGCTTTTTCTGTGAAATAAACAGTGTGACAGAACTTCAAAGTATTTGTTTACTCACACGTGGGAGTGTTCATTCTAACCTGTCCTGTGCCTGCCAAGAGCTCTGCTTGCATTTCTCACTTTCTTTTTTTAATATGTTTGATTTTTTTATAGCCCTTGATCCATCCAAAGATCCCTGCCTGAAGGTGAAGTGCAGCCCACACAAAGTGTGTGTCACCCACGACTACGAGACCGCGATCTGTGTCAGCCGCAAGCAGCTGGTGCACAGGTGAGGAAACGTTCCCTTGCTTCAGCCTTTTGTGTCTGTCACAGACATCCAGTGTGGGAGAAGAAGTAAAATGAGAAAACTCCAAAATTAATATTAAAAACCTCTTAATTTTACAATATTCCTCTTAATTTTACAATATTCCTTTCATTTCTGCTAAAAAAAAAAAAAAGAGACAAACAGAAGTTTTATATTTATAATTGAGGCTTTTTTAAAAAAGATGACCCAGAACATGCTGCATCCTGTGGTGTGGATTGCAGAATTCTTTGCCAGTTCTGGGAGGGATTTTCTCTCCCCAGAGAGAAGTAATTATGCATATTTTAAAAACTGAAAACATTAAATATGAAAACATTGTGCCAGGAATATTTACAGTTCAAGTAACTTAATTAGAAGTAATTAACAGGAGATTATTAAAGATTCAAAATATATAAATATATAAAACCTCTGCCTACGTTTGCTAAAGGGCTGAAAAGTGTTGGTGAAATTTTATAGAGCAGCTCCTTGAGAAGTCACTTAACTACAGAAATCGCCAGGTCAGATTGCTGAATGACTGAATTAAGAGCAAATGAACTAGCTAATATGTTACAAGGCCAGGATGTTCAAATTAGACCACAGAACTTCATAGAGAGGAGCTACAAATAAAAGAAGAGAAGCCTATTGATCATGGGTTGAGATATATTACAACCAAGAACTGAGAAATTTATAAACAAATGTTGAGGAAAAAACCTAACTTCACCCTATTTTGAAAGGAGATGTAGTAGAACCAGTAGAACCAGTAGAGAAACTAGAGTTGAGTATCTCCAGGGCATGAGTCAAGACCCAGAATTAATCAGCCCCTCCACTTGGCAACATATCTGTAACAGAATAAATTGTGTACTGCTGTAATGAGCAACTCTAAATGCTTGGACTGCACTTTAAGGAAAATACATTGTCTTGCTTTTATTATGTTTGAGTGATAAATCTGGGGACTGCTCTTCAGTTTCTCTCTCTGTTTAGTACAGAATTAAAAAATTGCTGTAACACAGCTCAGGTCCCCAAATGTTGTTGTCAGCCAATATTGTAGTTTAACAACTGTTTAAGCCAAACCAAATTCAGGATGATCTGGTTCCCATGGATAACCTCTCATCTTATCTCACTGTCACCTGGTTGAGGAAGCTAATCCTGTAAGAAAAATTTGTCTTTGATTGATAATACGAAGTTAATGGTGTAATGTGCACGAGGCAGTGTGTTCAATATCTGGTTTTCAGTATGGAATGATCCATGGAAGGAAGTTAGGAGTCTGCTATGTGTAGTGCTTACATTCTAATGATATTTATGGCATTATGTAGCTTGTAGTTTCTAGTTAGGATGGATTGAAACCTGGTTTAAATCCTTGCATTATACAGCGGTCCTTATGATATACAGACATAGATGTTGAGCCAAATGCTTTCTGAGCTATTTCCAGTATTTAATGTCTCCAAAGTAGTCAAAATGTTCAGAAGAATGGCGCAGAAGAACTGAATATCTTTTCTTTGCAGAAACCAGGCTGCATTTCATGTGATCTCTCTATGATTTCTCCACTGCCTGCAGCTGTTTCAGCAAAGCTTTGAGTAACAGTGTGACTATGGAGATGAATTGAAAAGTACTGAAAACTTTGAAAATTCTCCAATTTCCAACAAGTTTTGCAATGCTGAAAGAACTACTGCTGATGTATGACAGTGGCACTATAACCCCACACTGGTTTTATTAGTGGTTTATTCTCCAGGTACCCTGCTACCCTGGCCTCAGAGGGTAGATAGGTCAAGGAGGGAAGTAACCAGGGCAAATTCTGTTGATTTGAATCAGTGGAGTGTACCCCCTGAAGGTTTTCATCTTTAGTCCCACAGCATTCTGGTTTTTATGTGCCTCAGCTCCAGGCATATTAAATGCTGTGTTAATCAGGAGTAAACACATTAAAAGGGGTGGAGTTGTACCTATTTAAAACCAGCAAAAATCTGAATATATTAGTGTGGGCACATGTAGTAACAATTACCAAATAACACGGTGCTGTTAGGATTGTTTCGCACATCCACGGTGCTTTTGGGTGTGCTCAGGAGGATTTTCCATTTCATGCATCATTATCAACTTGCTGCAGTGGCTTTACACAGTGTGTAGGCTCAGCAAAAAGTAGTGGAGAGCAACACCTTTGTTATTGCTGAGCCTCCCAGACACAGCTGTGCTGGTCTGGCTGGAGAGCTGTGATTTTCCAGGCATATTGTTGCAAACTCTGAAATCACCAGTGCCAGTACGATGCCATTCCTATTTCATTTCCTTTCTGCTGGAATGACTATTTTTTAAACCACTGCAGGAGCTCGGTAGCAGTGTAGAAAATGGAGTTGCATGGAAATGTGTTATTTAAGCTGCTCAGACCCTGCCCCAGGGGCAGTCTGGCCTCTCCTGTTCAACATCTGCAATCTCCTCCTTCTCTGCTCCTCCTCCCCTCCACAGTCACCTTGTGTGCAGCCCTGAGTGTTGAATCATGGAATGGTTTGGGTTGGAAGGGACCTTAAAGATCACCAAATTCCAACCCTCTGCCCTTTAGATCTACAGATACAAACAGTTGGTTCCCCAATTAACCTTGCTGTGTTCATAGATTTTTCTCCATTCTCTTGTTCCTTTTCATACTGATTCTGAAAATAATTGGTTTTCATTTGATTATTATGTACAATTCAGGGAAAAGGGCATAGCCCAAAGGGAACTTTGTAAAATAGCATCATTTGGATTCCTGTTGGTATATTTAGCCATGTTAATTGTTTGTGTTTTATTTGTATGTATTATCTTGAAGGGCCTATCACAAGCAGAACTGTGGGAGAACCCAGACAATAACAAGGGAAAACCACTGGGTAGTTTATTAATTTTTTTGTCTTTCTCCATGGGCATTAACCAACTAATTTTTCTAGTAAGCTGTTAGTACTTCAGAAGTTAAGGCAGAAGATAAGATGTCAGAGAGGTATTCCAGACAGATAACAGAGTTTTGTCAGCACATCCTCTAAGGCGTTTACAGTACAAATTGGACAGTTCATTTACAGAAAAGGCAAGACTGTGTTGTGATTTAAGAGTGAGAAAAAGATGAATTTGGAGATACCTTCTTATATGCTTAATAGTCCTTGTACTAATGATAGAGTCTTATGAAATCTTTTGGGTGGATTAAAACCCCTTTCAATTTGGACATCTATGAGGAAAAGTCTTTATTAGTTCAGATTTGCATGAAATGCAGTAGTTAATATCTCTCAAAGTTGTCTCATGCATTCTCAGTCCCATAATTCTTTAAGCCATTTGTCTCTGCTGGTGCTGATAGTGCAGCGGATGGGAAGGAAAGATGTCACTCTTGGTCTCTTTTCAAAATAACAGAATGAGAGAGGATTGATATGAAAATAATGGACATATTAACATGTCCAGGCTTTACAGCTTTGTTCAGTCCATTTGACCAGCAATGACCAATTAGTTCATCACTGCCATGTAAGTCACTCACAAAGATAATCACACATCTTCTCTGCTTCTCTGCTGTGTCTTAGAAATCCAGCTGTTTACTCACTATTTCTTCAGTACTTTTAAGGATAATGCTGCTGACAAAAGAGTCTACTACTGAGTTTCTCACTTGTTTGTTTTTTTAAGGTCTGGACAAGTTCCCAGATAAAACATCTGTTCTTCTAAATTACGTGTCAAAACCTCAGTCTGACCAGCATGGCAGTGTTGGCAGCTATACTTATCCTCAAGGAGCAGACAAATCTCTCTCTCTTTCTTTGCAAATCTTGCAGCTGATACACCATTTCTGGTTAGGAAGGACCCTGCTCAAAACAAGTCAAGTAAAACATCCCCATAAGTGAAATAGAGCATTTTTGTAGCATTGATCTGGTTTTTCAGCGAGTGCTTTAAATTGTATCCAAAAGGGGGAGGCAAAGCAATCACTGCCAGGACTTCAGTGACCCACCTGCTTTGGAGGACTGCTGGGAGCATTACAGAAAAATCTCTGACCACAACAAATGCACTTTTAGGGATTTACTGAAAAGTTGTGCACATAAGCAAGGATTTGAAACAGTGCTATTACTCAATGTCTATGATTACATCAACAATCACCTTTTTTAAAAGGTGCTAAAATAGGGCCTAGAAACCCAGCCCTGTTGTTTTGCTGTTCTCTCTGACTTGTGCCTGCCTCTGTTTTCTCTTGTTTGCTTCACTGCTAAATGCTGATGAGGGGTTGGTTTAACACCAAGGGTTCCTCTGGGGGTTACAGCTTCCTGTGCTGAAAACCTGACTCCCACATTCCCAGTGCCATGACTGATGTCATGGAGGGCTTGGTCCTAAGCTCATTTAATTCTGCCTGATTTATGTGGTAATGTTTATCAAAGCCTGAGTAGGCGAGAAATCCATAGGAGAAGCAAGCTTGGGCGATGATTAATTATCTTTGCATCAACTAACACCATCAGTTGGTTCCCCAGTTAACCTTGCTGTGTTCAAAGCTCTTTTCTCTTGTTCCTTTTAAAGCTGATTCAGAAAATAATTGTTGTTCATTTGTGTATTATGTACAGTTGAGGGGAAAAAAAAGCATAGCCCAAAGGGTACTTAGATGAATCATAGAATCACAGAATCACAGAATATGCTGAGTTGGAAGGGATGCATCACAAGCATCGAGTCTTGCTCCCAGACCTGCACAGGACACCCCAAGAATCCCACCATGTGCCTGAGAGAATTGTCCAAATGCTCCTTTAACTCTGTCAGGCTTGATGCTGTGACCACTTCTCTAGGGAGCCTGTTCTAGTGCCCAAACCTTTCCTGATAGCCAACCTAAACCTCATAAATATAGTTATTTTTCACATCTCTGGTGGTCTTGGTAAATTCTGTGATGAATTCACAGTTATGAGTTAATTTTTACTGCCGATTTATTTACGAGCATCAAATTAATTTTGCTGATTAATGTTTTCAGAATTAAGGGAAGAAAACTGCACAGTTTAGAGTCAAAAGAAAATCTTTTGACCATTGTTTTA